GTTAATTTCATGCATGATAAGTAATGTGGAAGTGTAACACTTAGGGCTCATCCAAACCAATGCATTCCGGTAGCATTTTGTAAAATGCACAGGTTGAAATGATGCATTCATAATTTTTGAAATTTAATTTTATAACGTACCTGCGTCACCATGCACTACAACACATGATCTGTGCTGCAATGTTCTGCAGAAAAATGCAGCATGACCTCATTTTCATGAATTAAGGTGTGTTGCCGGCTACTCATTTTAAATGGCCTGGCTAACACAATGCATGAAAAAGACGTGTTGTCTTGCAATGCTTTGTAATGTGAATGAGCCCTTAAGTCTTTTTTTGTGTTTCTCATAAAGATCTCAGCCCATGACAATGTTGTTATCTGCTTGTTTCTCTAAATGCACATAGTCATCTTTTTCAGGCATTAACCTGGATCAGTATCCACTGACCTGTTCACACCATGTCCATTAAGCTGTGTTTTCTTCACACAATAGTTTTTTAGGTGTCATGTTTACAGCATACATGAGTAATGGTGTGCAGAAAAACACAGCTCATCAGACATGGTGGGAACAAACACTTAGGGTTGACACATGTAAATCCTGGTTCCTCTGCAGCTCTTAGCTGTATTCACAAATCAGTCCTTTGCTGCATTCTCTAATCTTGTGACTTTTTATGAAGTTACACTGTTGCTGTGCAATCACTGGGGGAAAGGAGACTGAGGAAATGCTGATGACATCATCTCAGGCTAGATGGCAAAGTCAGTGTACTGGAGCTTAATGACTGATTTTTATTTATAAAACCTGGAACGTTTTTGAAAAAAATATACTTCATTGTCAGGTCAGGAGTCTACTTATGCTGACTTTTAAAGTTACTGAAATGTCCACTTTACAATGTATCCATGCTCAAAATGTAATGTAATCATGCAGAGATCTACCGCCCTCTACTGTCTGTAATTGTAACTGTGCTTCTTACTGTCATAGAGTTATTTATGTACATCACTTCCTGTCCCTGCTAGCTGGGTCAGAAACCCAAGATTGGAGGACTTTGATATCTTTAGAAAGGGGAGTTTTCAGGAAGCAGAGTGAGAAAGAAAGCAGTGTCCTGTCCATGGAGTTGCTGCCGTTGTACTTTCACTCAAACCAAAAGAGACTATTATAAACTACTAGAGAGGGACTAAAGCACAGAATAGAAAGGCTGACCCTGAGTTCCAGTGCCACACCACAGTACTGCCAATTGGTTGGACAAGTGTTGGAGGTCTCCGATACAAAGACAGACACTGCATCATCCTCAGGGGCCCCTGCAACTGGACTTTGCTTCAGCATTCATCTGGAGGTATCTCTATTAATAACTGTATATACCCGGGTATATGGACACAATTCCACAGGGACTCATATTGGGCTCTTTGATGATAATACCTGTTTGTACGTTGAATGTGCAGTATGTACTGTTATTAATCTCTTCTTATATAAAGCTTGTATTACAGTATTTCCATACTGGTGTGAATCTATATGTTTATGGTTAATGTTATATACTGTTGGCAGTAGTTCCCAATAACTTTGGTCATCTTTATTATCAGGCACTGCCAACTTTATTGTCAAACTCACTCTGCCACTTAGTAAAGGTCTTGATTCTCTTACTTGCCTACAAGTTTAGCACAGTATCCTGTTTGGAGGGCTATTTCTCATATTCCCCCACCATTAAAAAAGAGGGCTACACATACAGTATATTCATTTCCACATTGTATTTCAATTATTTTTACATACTCCTATTAATCTGAATGTCTAGAACTTTGTGAAGACCCTCACACATTTACTTCCATGAATTCTGTGACTCATATTCACTATGCCCTGTGAGTAGGCACTGCTCTGTCACACATTTGATAGAGTTTGCCATCTGAACTACAATGGTGCTGAGGGGAGGAGTTTCAGGAGGCAGAGTAAGAACGGAAGCACAGTTTGCAGGCAACAAAGTACTGTGGGATATGTAGTCCTTAGAAATTGAAAATAATCAGCAGAGGAGAAGCTGCAAAGCATGCAGGGAATCCAGAAAGTTGTGGAAAGAGATGGCTAGCAGAGAGGCAGAACTCACAACATGAAAGTAGATTTTTTAAGTAAACTTATATTGGATTGTCAAATATAACAGTTTTTTGTATTGTTATTACAATGCTGATGTTATAAAAATGAACGTGTATGCTGTGAACATTGAACTCCTGGATCTAGGGGAGTGATGGGGTGGGCTGTGCCCCCCAAATTTCAGGGTTGTCCCACCAGGACCAGTAAAATTAGTATCAGATGTGGAGAGGCTGGGGGGAAGCTCACAGCTTTGGCCGATTTGGCATAACTGCCCCCTTCCATTGCATCACATCATTCATTTCCATAGTTCAGGGGGGGGACTAGGAAACACATCACTCGCTGCTACTGGTCGTATCCAGCTTGCCTGCGCCATGGAAAGGGATAACATTGATCCAAAGCAGGGATTTAGAAGAGGCTGGAAGTCCTGCTTCTTTTCAGACCTGCTGCACCTCTCAGCCCCTGCCATAATTATGCAGCCATGGTCATGCCTGCAAGGTAGGACTCTGTTTATGATGGGGGAACTGAGGACTGTTGTGAAGGAGGCTGTTTCTAATGTGATGGGGCTGACTCTGATGTGATGAGGTCTGACTCTTATGTAATGGGGACATGTGATCTTTGTGATGTAGAATTGCTGAACCTTATAGAGATACATTATAATGGGTAGTTTACAATCCTAGAGGCTGCTCACCAGCAACTGTGGGTCTTGCCACTCCAGCTAATGTAGCACCTGGATTGGAAAATGGCTTTTCCAATTCAGGTGCCTACATTATCTGGTTTTTAGCCCTGGTGAATGGGGAATGCTGAGCACCTGAAATGTGTTGACTGTTACAAAATAAGTTTCTTTTAAAAGGTCTATATAAGCTGGTGTGGCAGTCCCATCCTTTCAAAATTTCATGTAATGGGATCTGACTCTGATGTGATAGGGGGTTCTAATGTGAAAGGACGGCTCTAATGTAATAGGGTTTTCTGCTGTGACTAGGTGGTGTTTGATGCAACAATGGGACTCTGATGTGATGGGGCAGTCTAATGTGAAGGGGGTACTCTTATGTAATGAGGGGATTCTGAAGTAAAAGGGGTGCACTCTGATGTAATGAAGGGACTTTGATGTGAAGGGGGCTGATATAATGGAGGGACTCTGATGTGGATGGGGGTTGACTCTGATATGATGGGGGGGACTCTGATGTAAAGAGGGTACTCCCCCATGTGGCACAAAGGAGAGGATGACATCATCCAGTGTGGATGTCAGTGTCCTTCAGCCCAATAAATACAGTTTGGGACTGGGTTGCCTTTTAATTTTGTATGCTTTTAAAGGGTGCTGTGACTGAAAGAAGATTGAGAAACACTGGACGCTTAATACATGTGCTTTTCAGAGAGATGCAGGAACCTAGCTTTTCCTGTTCACTCCTGCACCGCGTCTGCACTACCCAATAGTACTGTCAGAAGTTACTTCTGGGTAACAGCTGATGTAGTGCAAATTCAAAGCCTCTGGTCAATGCAGTTTCAAAGCCTCTGGTCAATGCAATTTCAAAGCCTCTGGGTCAATGCATGCAATTCAAAGCCTCTGGTCAATGCAATTCAAAGCCTCTGGTCAATGCAATTCAAATTCAATCAATTTCAAAGCCTCTAGTCAATGCAATTCAAAGTCTCTGGTCAATGCAATTTCAAAGCCTCTGGTCAATGCAATTCAAAGCCTCTGGTCAATGCAATTTCAAAGCCTCTGGTCAATGAATTTCAAAGCCTCTGGTCAATGCAATTTCATGTGCAGCTTGCTGACATCTTTGCGACTTCATGCAGAGATGTCCATGCAAGTCACACATGAAATTGCCCAAAATAATGCAGGAACCTTTTTTCAAAATTGGTGCAGATCAGAGTTGCACCTATTTGAACGATTCCATAGGAACGAAGAGGGTGCGACTTGTCATGCAATTTTGAACTGTCAAATCACATGAAAAATCGCATTGGTGTGAACGGGGGCTTAATGTCTGCTGAGGCCAAAAATGTTTTGTACGAGATGGTGTCCCTTTTTTTCCATCTCAGAAAGTTGGCGTGACAACTCTTTCTCCAGCCCAAATGAGAGTAGGGCGCTTGGTGAAATGACTGCAATCAGGAGATAGTTATAGTCTTAGGTTTCTTGATTTATGACAAGTTACAGCTGTAAGTGTGAAGTAGGCTTCCTTGCAGCATCGTTAGAGTGAAGGCCTCAGGAGAAAAAGCTTGTTTCCCATACAGTACTGAGTGATTGCTTTGGGAACATGTCCATTATCGCTCCTCATCCCACCTTACTATCTGTTTCTTATGTGGTTACAGGCCAGGCTTTTTCAAGGGGTTCATTATTGACAGGTGCACAAATAAGACAACATTTAGAAATGGCTTTTAAGTGGTAAGAAAGAAAAAATAATCAGTGCAGTTTATCAGCTGCTGTGTCGGTATTGCAGAACAGAATCATCTATCGGTAATAGTGGAAAAGTCCAACTATCTAGATTGCTGCTGAGGGATGCAGAGCTCAGCTGCCTGATAACTTCCGTAATCACAATGTAATTGGGAGTCACTCTCTTTAGGCCTATAATTCATAGGACACACACATAGGCCGCTGTTTTGTTTGTAAAATGTACAATGCAGGAAATTATATAAAACACTTAAACCTCTAGCATGTGTTGTCTTATTGTATGCAGTACTTTATCTATAGGATGACTAATACCTACGTGCAGTCAAAATTGAAAAAAAAAAAAAAATCTACACAACTCAGTCAGTAGGATGTGTCCCTTCTGCTGATTCCTCTTCTATTATCTGAAATCCTCCATTGATGATACTAGGGTTGCCACCTCAGCCCTTTAATCCGCCTCCCGCCCGCCATATAAGGTAATGAGGGGCGCAAGTCGGTTCTCTCGTTCTGGGAGGACATCATATGACGTCCCCCTACTCTAACCGCGCAGGGGGGCGGCTGCGGAAGCGCGCAGCATGAGGATCGGTGGTGCGCTGTGTCCCTCGGACACAGTGAATCACCAATCAAAGGAGAGAGCCAAAGACGTCGGCTCGGTCATGTGATCAGCTCTGCCCAATCACAGCTGATCACATGTAAATAGGGAAATGCCAGTTATTGGCATTTCACTCCTTACGAGCTGTCATGCTGAGGAGAGGAGAGACGGTAATCGGCATTCCTCAGAGGGGACATGTACACTGATCATCAGGGCACTGATGATCAGTGTGCCCTGATGATCAGTGTAGCCCCAGCAGTGCCACCTGTCAGTGCCCATCAATACCAGCTGTCAGTGCTCATCAATGCCACCTGCCATTGCCCATCAGTGCACATCAATGCCACATATCAGTGCCCATCTGATCTGCCTTTCAGTGCCACCTATCAGTGCTGCCAATCAGAGCCACCTATCAGTGCCAGTCAGTGCCAGTCAGTGCTGCCTATCAGTGCCGCCTGTCAGTGCAATATGTGAGTGCTGCCTTTCAGTGCCCATCAGTGATGCCTGTCAATGCCGTCAGTGCAGGGAGAGAGCGTTGATGACCTCTAGTTCTACCTCTAATTTATATTCAACAGCTTTACTACTTTTTGGGTCTTTTTTAAAAGTCATATCATTTTGACAGCAGTATTCCTTTATGATGTGTGAACCATTGTGACCTTGTATTTAAAAAGACATTTGTGTCCATCCTACATCAATACATGCCTCGGTGTCTAACCATATCAAAGTGTGAAACATTTAATCGAAGGTACATTTAGTCAATTATAAGCGCCAATTAAAAAGAAACATCAGATGTAACATTCTATGGGTTGAAAGCGGACTTCACTTCAGGAAGAAAAAGACAGGCTTTAATGGAAATCGTAAAGAGAATGAAATTGGGTGAAGTTCTTGCATGGAAAACATAGTGAAGATTAATAGGCATTATTTAAATTATAATTGGATGAGTACTTGTGTTTGTGCACATCCTTCTGTGATAGATGTACAGTACATGGATGATAGGCAAAGAAACAAGGATTAGAAATTAGGGAGGAAGATATTAAAAAGCCGGCAGATAGAATGTTTAATTCAGAAAGGACAGAATTGTAATTTCAGAGTGACAAAAAATGAAGAATTGTGGGTATACGGGAAAGTAGGAAGGACATCTAATGAAAGGCAGAGGTTTGTGCTTTCACGGTGATAAAGTGTACTTCCATATTTTACTACGTTATCAAAAATAAATAAAGTATATTCAAAATAGCTTGTTTTTTGTACTTTTGCTTCTGTGTCAGATTTTTTTCCACTCTCAGTTCTTTTATCTTCCAAGAATTATAAAGGAAAACGCTTGTTTCTATTTTTAGAAATGAAGTCATTTAAGTGGCCCTGTCTTCTCCTTGAGGAAATAAATGTAAAAATACCCCACAAAAGAAGATGAATGCTTATCTTTCCCTTGGCTGTGAATTGAAAGTTTGCTCTCTTGCAGAGCTGTGGATGCCGATTATTTTTTACATTCCAGGTGTGTTGAATAGCATGCCCCCGCTGCCTGCTGTGGTTTCTACCAAAGACCCCTACATCACTACTGTGTTCTGTAGTGATGCAGAGGTCAGTGGAAAGAACCACAAGGGCTAGCAGGGAACATGCTATCTGACTCCTTTGTAGTGTCCTATAACAGTGGTGAAAGGAGGTCTCCAAGAGAACAAAGATTCCCTCACCACCAGCCAGTGATGTATTTAGGTTTTGTGCTGCCCTAGTCAACACAAAATTGGGGGGGGGGGAGAGAAAGAAAGCAAGGGAGAGAGAGAGAAGGCAGAGGGCAGAGAGATAGGAGACAGAGAGTGAGCGAGAGGGCAGGGAGAGAGAGGGGGGGGCAGGGGGGAGAGAGAGGGGGCAGGGGAAGATAGGACAGGGAGACAGAGGGGGGCAGGGGGAGAGAGAGGGGGCAGGTAGAGAGAGAGAGAGTAAGAGAAAGCACGAGAGAGAGAGAGAGAGAGAGAGAGAGAGAGAGATGGCAGGGGGAGGGAGAGAGGAGGCAGAGGGAAGAGAGATAGGAGAGAGAGGGGCAGGGATAGAGGGGGGGTATGGAGAAAGCATGGGGGAGAGAGATGGCAGGGGGAGAGAGGGGGCAGGGGAGAGAGAGAGAGGAGGCAGAAGTCAGAGAGATCAGAGACAGAGAGAGGGGGGGCGAGAGAGAAGATAAGGAGAAAGCACAAGAGACAGAGAGATGGCAGAGAAAGAGAGGGGGTGGGGAGATAGGAGACAGAGAGCAGGGGAGAGAGGGGGTATGGAGAGAGGGGGGGCAAGGAGAGAGAGAAAGGGCATGGAGAGAGATGGCACAGAGAGAGAGAGAGAGAGAGAGAGAGAGGGGGGGGGAGGCAGAAAGAGAGAGAGGGGAGGCAGGAGAGAGAGGGGAGGCAGAAGAGAGAGAGGAGGCAGAAAGAGAGAGAGGGGAGGCAGAAGAGAGAGGAGGCACAGAGAGAGAAGAGGCAGAAGAGAGAGGGGGGGCGGAAGAGAGAGAGGAGGCACAGAGAGAGAGGAGGCAGAAGAGAGGGGGGGCAGAAGAGAGAGAGGAGGCACAGAGAGAGAGAGGAGGCAGAGAGAGAGAGAGGAGGCAGAGCGAGAGAGGAGGCAGAAGAGAGAGAGGAGGCAGAAGAGAGAGAGGAGGCACAGAGAGAGAGGAGGCACAAAGAGAGGGGAGGCAGAAGAGAGAGGGGAGGCAGAAGAGAGAGGGGAGGCACAGAGAGAGGGGAGGCACAGAGAGAGAGGAGGCACAGAGAGAGAGGAGGCAGAAGAGAGAGAGAGGAGGCAGAGAGAGAGAGGAGGCAGAAGAGAGAGAGAGGAGGCAGAGAGAGAGAGGAGGCAGAAGAGAGAGAGGAGGCAAAAGAGAGAGAGGAGACACAGAAAGAGAGGAGGCAGAAGAGAGAGAGCAGGCACAGAGAGTGATGATCCTGCCTGTGTCCCCGCCATGTGCTAGGCATGTAATGGGTTAAATGACCTCTTTGGCTGCAGCAACTTAGTTTGTTCTGGCTGAAGCCAGCCGGCGCATGCGCAGTTGCTGCTGCCACTACCATGTCTCAGGATACAGATTTTGCAAGAACGCACGCCTACATCGGCTGACGGCTGATCCACCACACCACTGACTGTCTCCCTCCCTGGACGTGTCCACTCCCCCAGGCTGGCAACACTCACCTGCTCAGATAGATAGGTGGGAGCAAGCCACAGGCCAGCCCTGCCACTGCACATGACCCTGTTTGGCCAATCACAGGGTGCCCTTTACAGAGCTCCGGGCAGGCTCAGAGTCTCAGGCTATTATAGAGAGCAGTGGTAGGAGCAGGAGTGCAGTGTCAGACAGAGAGAGAAAAGTTAAGGACGGAGTGTCAGTGGATAGCGGGTGCGGGACTTTATGCACCCCTCTAGATGTTGTGCCCCCCCAAAAAAATGCCACCAAAGGCAAACGCCTTGTGTATCTTCTGGTAAATACACCCCTGCCTGAAGGGTCAGTATTAATCTTCATTTGCCAGGTACTTTTGAGTTAATTTAGTTGAGAAAATGTCAAGACTTGCTTTAACGTGTTACTAAACCAACAACTGTAAAATCAATCTCTATATGCAGTAAAGCATGCTTGTTATACTCGCTGTTGAATCTAAGGGGTTAATCCTCTGCACTGTGTAAAAAGGCTGCTTGATCCTGTCTTCTCTGCTCTTCCTCTTGTTCAAATGTCTGCGTCTTATCTCCCAATAAGACAGACTGAACCCTGGCCATTCTGCACATGCTCAGTTTAGTGTGTATAGCTAGAGAGGTTTTTTTTTTTTCTTGGGAGAGTGCATGTGATCAGCACAGGGCCAATCAGCACTGTCCAGACAGAGTTTGGGGGTTTTGCATCCTCCTAGAGCAGAAAGAAAACTCCTCCTACAAGCTTTAACCAGTGCTCTGCTGGACACTGATAGAACTCACAAGCCTACTCTAACTGCTGATGAGAAAAGGTATTTAGCAGTTTGTATTTACTAAAATAATTGCATTTCCATGTTCTGTGCACTGTGGGAGACCAGATACAGTGAGTGCAGGGTCCTGGGTTTAGTAACACCTTAAAGCGGCACTCCACCCAAAAAGGGGAAGCTCCATTTTAAGGACTGCTCCCCCGCTCCCCATTAAGGATTGGCATTGTACATGCTCCCACTTCTAGTCTGATCACCTAGACGATCAGAAATGGAAGGTGTCCTCCCTCCCTGTAATCTTTTGGGACACGTGACAGGTCCCAGAAGACTACAGGACCATTCACAAAGCACAGCGCTACTCGCGCATGTACAGTGGGCACCTGGCTGTGAAGCCGCAAGCTGTCACAGCTGGGTGTCCACAAGGAAGATGCCAGCCTCCAGGAATACAGGACGGCCGGTGAATCGGGCTGCGGGGGACACACCACGGGACCGTGGGACAGGTAAGTGGCTGTTTTTTAAAAGTCAGCAGCTACAGTTTTTGTAGCTGCTTTTATTTTTTGACAGGGTGAATGGAGCTCCGCTTTAACTACTGTTTGCTAGTATCTTGTGGTACCCTCAGGCTTTAAAAAGAAACTATAATAATTTCAGCTTCTGAAAGCTATCTCACTGCTCTGTGTGGTGGTCTTGTGCCCAGCTCAGTCTATCCATCCTACGTGAGCCCCTTCAGAAACTGGAAGGGAGCCTATTTAAGTTGAATGATCACATGAGTACCCACATGTCACTGGAACTGGTACCCCTAATTTTCAGACTCTGAGGATTAAATAAACCTCAAAGGAAACTAGAAAAAACCCTAAAAGCTGGAGTGTTCTTTAACTGCAAGTTTCACATCACTGTGAGATGGAAGCTAAAAGGAGATAAGGAAAGCAGATGCATTAAACAATTCATTAGGCTGAATGTATCCAAGAAGAGCTGCATACAAGAACGTTAGAGCAATCTTAACATCATTAACTAATTGCCTAACGCAGCAGGAAGAACGCTCGTGACTAAAAACAAACACAGTAAGGGAAACAATTGACAGTGGAAGAAGGAGCAGGGGTCTTGAGATGTTATGACATACAGCAGATTCAGAGCTCTTCTCCATGCTCATGATGTTTAATGGGAAGTAAGCCCCAGTATTGGTGTTTATTTTGTACCAGTCTTTGCTTGCATTTTCTATCAAATAGACTGCGGTGGTACTCGCTGCTCATCGAGGGATCTAATATTTATGAAATATTTATTATGAAAGAGCTTGTTCACACTTGACTGTTTTTCCAACTCTTGCCAAATGCCCCTATAGCGTTTGACAAGCGTTGGTCCGGTGTTTGCGGAGCGTTTTTAACACTCCGCAAATGCAGCATGCGCGGCTTAGCGGAGGATGCTAGGCATTTGACAAGCGTTAAAAATGCCCCACAAAGACCTATAATGAAGTTTGAATGGTGTTAATGCTCGGCAAATGCCCTGCAACCGTGTCGCAACCGCACCGCAAACGCCAACCGGGCATTTGCAGAGCGGCACCATAGACTTGAATAG